AAAAGCTATTAGGCTTTAGCTATTGAGCTATTAGGACTGTTATGATGAGAGTCATAACTGGACTTTTATGTCAAGTCAGGGAAACTAATTGGAAAAATGCGATATGTGAGTGGTTCAGAAAAAAACCTTCAGATGAGTTGATCTCAAGCCTAGAGTTTTTTCAGTAGTAGTTACTTCTAAGGATCCCCCAATATCTGTATCACTACAACCAAAGTGAAGTTGAATATATAAAAATGGACAAATTAGGGAAGTCAGCAAAACATCTCAACAAAGTGATTTCCCATTCATCCAGAATTATATGTGGATTGGCTACAGCTCTCACTAGTTCAGAACCTTTACCTAACTTAAAATGAAGTAATGACATTAAACTTTATCCTTCAGGCCCTTTAGGCCTACAGTTTATAATAGTCACAGTTCTCTGAGATGATTTAAAGCCGTTTGTTATTTTTGACCTGATTGCAGGTTTCTTGCCAACACAACTGGACTGCAAATGTGCTCTTATTAGTGGCAAATTTTCCATGTGAGATGTTATGCCTCAAACAATGTATTGTTGAATTGCACTGAGGCGAGGTATTTGTGGGGCTGTTTTTGACCAGCATGAAATGGCTTATGTGGCAATGAAACAAAGTCACATGGTGGTCAAATCAAGGTCTGTGAAAATAAACATCCACACCGTTTTACACCACTATTACTTACAATCAGGAATATGTTTGTTTTTTTTGTAAGTCAGAACTTCCTCCAGGTGATACATTTTAGAATGTCTGGTACATTATTCGATAAGCTCCTAAAGCAGATTTTCTTGCATTGAAAAAGAAAATGCCTGGGGAACAGGAATTTGTCTCGAAATCTCGAGTTTACATGCCTTCAGGGATGTTACCAGGCTAATACAAAGATGCTAATCGAAGTTGAAACCCCCTTGAGGAGATGTTCATTTGATTTATCATTACCTTTTAGGATCACATGCTGTCTTTCACCCTTTGCCAGCTAATAAACCCTTAAGACTCTTGCCTCCTCAGATACATATATACCCTCACATTCTCCTCCCCAACACAACCACCACTAACGCAACTGTGCACACATACGTGCACAAAATTCTTCCAACCCACTTGCCCGCAACAACCTCAAGGGACACATAAGAAATAAATTCAACACTTCCGCTAACCCAAGAAGCGCCTTAAGGACAAAGAGAAATTTAATCTTGGATAAGCCTCCCGATAGAATCTCTGCATTAGCCCTCCGCTGCTGGTTCACAGCTATCCCATCAACCCTTACCTCACACACCTTGGCCCAATTCCCTCGTATCTCTCCTCCACTGCACTGCTTGTTTCCTTTTTTCTTTTATTTCTTTCCACCCTCCCAATTGTCTCCCGACTTTGTGTCACCCCCCCGCCCCCCCTCTCCATGTCATTAGCTTCATTCACTTATTTTACTCCTGTTGCATCTCTCAAACCATACCATGTCTCCCCATGCATTGTCAGCCCCGTCCGTGTTTCCAGTAAGCCTTCATCTCCTGCCATCTGCTCCCAGTTGTGACACACGTTGTATGTATCTATATTTCTGTTCCCCTCTCTTGTCGGAGTGCTTTAATACCATTGGTATTAAATACTGGCACGACCTCCTCGGCATACTTAAGCAGGCAGGGATCCTTGTAAGGCTGTTTGAGTGCTTAATATTTTCAGCACGCTGCTGACTTAAGCCCCTTAAGTGCTTTGGCAACACTTATTCCACGGTGGCACCAATGAAGCCCATTAAAAATTTGATTTGGATGAGAAAGAGAGAGAGAGAGTAAAAAGAGGAAGGGGGATAGGGGACACAATTTGCCATTACTTCCTTCCCTTCTGCGTACACTGCTACAAAAACAAATACACCCATCAGGGGGTTACCCACACAGGGAATCCGTAGATATACAAATACTCACATACTCACCAGTCGGGCTCTGATTTGCAATGTGTTCTTTTTGTCTGTAATTATGTTCATTGTTTCTCTGTGAAGTACTCTGTGATGACCCTATTCTGTTAAAAGCCGTTGATGAATGAATTTGACTTTATTTGACTTGATAATAAGGAACAGAATGTTTCAAATTAAATGTCTAAAGATGTTTGTAAATACATCTTCTGGCAAATTAGAGCAGATAGTTTATGATCAGCTGATTAACTACAAGCAGAGGTGCGAGTATAAAAGCAAAGCCGTGTTGCCTTTCGCATTTTACAGGATAATGAAAGTCATAGAGACGGAGCCCAGTGTGGTTAGCGTCTACTACTGACTTTGTATAGCCAGTTTTATTGCCAATAACAGTAATGATAGAACATGTGGAAATGAGCTTGAAGAAAAGAATTTCATTAGGCAGGATGTGTTCATGCAAAATTTGCTGACAGGTTGGTCTAGCTGGGAGCGATGATTTCTGTTTCATCACTATGAAAATATGGAGCAGGTACCTTTTAACGGGCCAGGTTCACACTAGCATAACTTATAACAAAGTCACAGTCATGTTAATTTTTGCTTTATTCACTGCCTCCAATCCGAAGTACAAAAGACACAGACATGTACAGAGCTGTGTGCATCCCCAGAGCCATAAAACTATCCATTTAACATAAAGAGGCACTATGACACCTCTTTGTGTGTCTGCATGGATAAATTAGTGGGGAGTAGATAGTGAAAGAAGCAAACATTCAGCCAAATGTACAGTCTGCTTCAGTCAACACTGGACAGTCTAGCACATTCACGTGCACGCACACAAACTGCCACTGTTTGTCGACCTGAAAGACAACCATTGTCCCCGATTCCATCCACAAAAAAAACACTCTCTAACTTTCACAAAAAAGGATGCAAAATATGCAGACACTGATCCCACACTGACCGGCACACACACTTTTTAAGCAAAGGGAGGGAGGCCAGGCTCATATAAATAAGTAAAGGACAGAAGACGGACAGAGGGATGCGATCGCCGGGGTTCACACATTGGGATGCTAAGAGTTGTTCTAGACCAGCAGGGATGAAGTGAAACAAAACACAGCTAAATTTCCTGGAACTAACAACCAGCTACGAGACTTGAGGATTGAATGAAGAGGACCAGAGAGGAGGCTTTTGACGGATAAACTAAACACAAATTGAGGACATCGGCTTGAGCAAGCAAACAGTCTTTGTTTCCGCTGCCAGGCCTCGGACTCGCTATACCCGGGCTGCTGGTGCACACCAGCGCGGAGTGATTTTCTTAGCTCCAGCCTGTTGAACGCTGAAGTAGGCACTGTGGCGGAAGGCTTGTGTTGATATACTTTCGGCTTTGCAAGAAGTGTCAGGGCCATCACCGTTAGAGCTCAAACTGCTCGCAGTGGCACAGGCGCTGAGAACGAGCCGGCTGTGTATAGTAATGTAAGAATGACAGCCGCTCTTTATTCCATCAGATAGTGCTCAGCGAGGTGTGGGGTACGACTCGGCTCACTCCGTTTTTACACTCCAAGCACACTCACACCTGTGCTTCTACACGCACCGGACCTACACCCCCCCGCAGACCGACAGCACGTCGGGTTCTGACAATCAGTGGAACTACTGTCTGGACCTGGAACCCAGGAGGTTTCAGATCAGTGTGTGAGAGCGTATACCTGGAGAGTACCCAGTGGAGCATATTGGAAAAGGAAGACTTAGGCAGGTCGATATAGTGTGATTATATTGTCTGATAACCTGTGATTATTCTGAGGGGGCTAAAATCGCTGTCTATTCATTCAACAGTGTGTGCATGATAAAGTATTGACAAAAACCTGGCATCCAAGCAAATAACAGTTGATTCCTGTGGGAATTTAAAAAATGACGGACGAAAATATGCCGTGTATGAAGCAAAAGGTCAGAGTTTGCTGAACCCATTTAATCTGTCTACTTTACACAGAGTGATCAATTTCCATCTCTGTCTTTACAGAGTACCAATCCAACTTGATGGATTTTTTTTTCTTCAGCTATCTCTGCATGAGTTGCTTTGAGAGAGTTTCTCAGTCTCTGTGGAGGACTGGTAGACCTGCTTATGGCTTAAAGGAGCACTGACTACTGCTTGCTTGGGTGAAAAGTGTTGGAAACTGATTCTGACTCATTGAGTACGATATATTTGAGGATGAAGACTGCTGCCCCCGGTTGGTCTCTCTCTGAGGGCATAGGAGCGTGAGTTACTTCAGTTGAAAAACGTTCCATGTCTTCCATTCGCAAAATAGTAGGATTTGATCCATAGACAAGCAGCCTATTTCCTGTTGGTGTCAAGTGTATGGGGAATTGTTTGGGCCTCTTATGCTTTGAATTTGTATTGAGTCGGAGTATACAATTGATGAGAAAAGACTTAAGTTGTCGTTGATAGTTTTATTTGCGTAGCTGCCATCGCTGGCACAGGAAGCAGGGTTTTGGCTTTAGATGGCTCAGAGTGGTGTCGTCGAAGGAAGAAATTGAGCCTTTAACAGTTTGCTTTGATTAAATGGAATCGAGCTATTGTTTGGCATTGTAGCATCAAAGCTGCTATGGATTAACAACAATACATATTGGCTTACATATCTACATTCAACGGAGCACAATCTGCTGAAGCCAACAGAGGAACTAATGCTCTAAAGCATAAGCCCATCTCTGTCAGCCTCGGAATATAGTGTCCAAATTATGGGTTCCGATATCACCAAGAGCGCTGAGCAATCTTCTGTGTAATGTTTGCAAGCCACCACAAGTCATTCCTACGTGATTTCTGCGGCAAAAACATTTCCATTGCTTCGGTTTTGATACAGTGCACCGCATAAGAGTTCCTTCTCCGAGCGTCGGCCTTAAACGATAACTCGTGTCTAAGTGCACTAAAGTTAAGCGAGCGGTCTGCACGTGTCTGCAGCACTGCAGTTCAGAGCGAACCCGAGAGTCTGTGTGTGTGTGGACTAGCCTGTCTGTGGCAGTGCGGGCAGGGTCACAGAGGAGCCATTGATCAAATGTGCTCAGCCACACACACATCTAAGCTCACACACGCATACACAACTTTTCAATACACAATGAGGCCTGTCCGAAGCTCTGTCCTCTGCCGCCTCCTTCCTGCACCCTTCTCTCTGGCCCTGCGCAGCCTGGTCCTGGTCCTGCTCTGCATCACTCGTAAGTTGTACATACACACACTCAGAATAAATTAGGTGTACGGTTTGGATTCTGGCAGGAAAACTCAGGGGTCATTGCACATCAAATGGAAGTAACAGAAACTGTTCAAACACTGATCTCATATTATTGTCAGGGCATGGCTATTTAGAGAAATCAGAAGCTGTTTTTTTCATTTGTATAAAATGTTCTAAAGATACACATTCATATACTGTAAATACGCTGTTTTCTTGTACCTCAAAAGAGAAACACACGTATCAGTATATTAACAATAGCGTAAAGTGAGGATATGAGAATGAGAATATGTGCAGTGACCAGAGGGAAATAACTAATGATGGACTGATGATACGAGTGCTTCAGATGGATTGTTCAAAATGCTTGGAATTAGAAGTGAAAAAGTCATTAAAAGTAAGTCCATAGAAAAGATGAAGACAAGAATGTGTTCTGTAGCCAGTAGATGAAAGGAGAGCAGACAGAGAAAGAGATGGGAAGGATGGACCAAAGGGCTCAAACTGAAATGCCAGCAAATGAAAATAGAAGAAGGAGAAATATGTGGGTGTCTAAAGCCTTTTTCTAAACTGTTCTCAGAAAAATCCAATAAAAGAAAGTTAGAGGTTTTGGATATGGAGAGAACCAAATCAAGAAATTGTTAAATAGAAAGAGAATGAGTTTGGCAAAGTGCAGGAGACAAGTATATGTAAAGTAAGAGATCCACTGACAGAAGAAAGGTTTGGCCAAATACTGCTGTGTGTATGTGAGGGAGGAAGCAGCTGAGGCAGAAAAAAGAGAGAAAGCGAGACAGAGATGGAGAACAGTGCATTCTGTGTGTGTATGGAAGAAAGACAGAGATGGAGGGAATTGGTACAAAGATGAAACAAGAGACAAGGCCTCAGAGGGAGTTGCACAGGGCTGAGATATGAAAGGAAGAGTCATAAGATTGATTGAACACAAAAGAGAGTGGCAGAAGTGGAGTGATATTGCTATTAATCTCTCCCATTTTTTATGAATTTAGACCAGTGAGATTTTTCTTTTTGCCACTGCTTATTGGTAAACAAGCATTTTAGAGTTTCCCTCTGTACCAAAGTCTCTGCTGAATGGGAATTAGAATTGGGGAATAAGGGAGAAAGCATAAGTTTGTGTCTTGGCAGTCAGCTTGGTTATGTAATACATGCCAGTAGGGCAGTTTTGGTCGGGCTTGAATGGTTATGCTCATATACTCTTTCATGCACACTCAACATTATCTCATTCAAGCACACATGTTCTGACACTTTTGGTGTTAAATTATGTACACATCCATCTATTTTCCCCTCGCACACACACACGCGTAATGGTCAACCATCATATGCACAACATGTACACACCAGAGGGAAAGCAGCCATGTGGTGGGTTTTGAAGGGGTGTTAAGACCAGTGCTTTTGGCGGTAGTGAATCTCCAGTGTAGTTACTGTTGTGTAATAGCCCTGTAAATTTCCTTTAAGCCGCTGTTGGGTTGTGTGCAGTGGCCATTGTCGCTGGGTTGTTGGGGCCGTGACAGACCCACACAATGAAACGATGCACAGTGGAAAGAACTAACAAGCTTTGTCATGGCGAAAGAGAGGAGAAAGGAAAGAGAGAGTACGATGAGAATCAGAAGAGGCGGTGAAGGCAGGGAATGTAATGGGATGGGTGGACAAGACGAGAGCAGAATGTTCAGACAGTGCAGGGGGCAAGGAAGAAGAAGGGCTGGACAGACACAAAGATGTGAAGGTCAGAATTACTGCCTGTCTGGAGAGGGGAGTATATGAGATTAGAGGATGAAGACAACAGATGTCAACAGCATTGGCAGCATTACTGGGTAGCAAAATCAGAAAAAAGAAATGAATAAAAAGAAGTAAATATTTCCAGTGAGAGCTCCAGAGTGAAAACTTACCCTTTCATGCATAATTTTTCTTTTAGCAGTGCATTGCTAAAGGTAAACCCGTTAGTTATGGAGAAAAGGTTGGGAGATTCCCCCAAATTCACAGACAGACAGAAAGAAAGGGAGGCTAGAAAGTGAAGAGAAGCTTGAGTTATATGACAGGCAATTAAAATAACCCAAAGTATAGAGAAGACGATTAATGTAGGAGGAAAAAATGCTAAATTCAGATTCTCACTCTAGTCATTTGTTTTGTCCTCTTGTCCCATTCACTCCAATGCTTTTTTCTCCTCATCATTCCCTCCCTTCTTCCGCTCTCCCGGCACACTATAAAAACAGCATGATTATGCTGCAGACTTGAGCTGCAGAACAAATCACTTTAGCGAAGGAGAGTGTGCAGATAGAACCAGCAGAGAGGCAAGAAAAGATTCCAACTGAGTCCCGAAAAGAGAAAGAATGATAGAGATTGCAAGGGGAATGAAAGCGTATTGCAGTCTGAAAGGAAACGATTGCAAGGGCAGGAAAAAGTACATCACAAAAGAAAAGGAACGAGGGACAAGGGTGAGGAGAAGGCAGCTAACAGGAGGGAGAAAAGAGTTGGAACAATTCTCCTGAGGCCCAAGAGAAAAAGAGGGGAAAGAGGACCTTTAGGACGACTCTAATGAGGAAGACGCATGATGAACGATGCAATAAAAGATAAGGGAGAAGAGGAGGAAGTAGACGGGAAGAAAGGAAAAGGGACGATGAAGGCAGGAGAAATCAAGGAATAAGATCTGGCAGAAGGTGGGAGGAGATGGATGGAGAGACACTGGATTTAAATAAAAAAAGAGAAAGAGGAAGATGTGAGAGAGAGATTAGATATTAAATCAGTGAGGCGAGAGAGACTAAATGGGGGATACTCTAATAAAACAAAAAAGAGCTAAGTGCACGGGGGGCTAAAAAGGGGACAGGGGACAGCAACAGAATGAAGGTAATGAGAGACATGACAGCAAGATCTGTAAAGGATTATGTATTATTTATAGAGAGGGTTTTTTTTCTATGCATTTTCTTTCTTTGGCAGAGTTCTGCTTCCGTCAGAGAGATGGAGTGATAATTTTAGACCGGGAAAAGAAAAAGTGGAGAGGAATTGCAAAATAGTTGTAGGTCTACAGAGAGAGTTATGGAAAAGAAGAACCTCAAAGTCAGCTATTTCATGGAGTGAGTACACTGCAAAACTCTGTGATTAACCTAGAGCAAGTGTTCATGCATAAACACACACACATACACACACACACATAAACATTGCAAACTCAATTTGCATAGATACAGTGAAAACAGGCTCGCCTCACAGACTCGGGGGATAACTGCAAAATGTACATCCAGATGGGAAGAGACTGAGAAGTTGCCAATGGATAACCCCATATGAGTGGAAAATTTGAGCCGCTGTTATTGTTTCAATTAAAGCAGCAACGACATGAGGGGTTAGCCATTGTAGTCTCCTGCATTGATTCTTTTCTAAAAAATCCATGGCCAGCATGCAAAGAAAACACCAGCTCCTGGCCCACGTCCAAGTGAAAGATAATAGCAGATAATAAATACGGCGACAGTGACTGCACTGATTCAAGGATACAAGGGGGCTTGTTTGGGGCGAGCAGTGACTGCCCATCGCTTATGCCACTTGACATATTTTGGTTCCGTTTTCACTTTTCTCCCCTCTTGGACAGGGAACAGTAAGTGCACAGCAAGGTGGTAATTCAGCCTGCTAACCCTGCACCAGTGAGGGAGTTTCGAGAATTTACCGTGAACAAGGGTGAGCCAGCAGTCAAACTGGCCGCCTCCCAAATCCCCCTCTTTTAACTCACTATAACTCCCCTCACTGACCCTCTCTGTTTCTTTCCCTTTCCCCGGTTGACTTATAACTCAACCCGATTGCCAGATCAGTAGGATAGGCTAGGCCCCTGAACGGCTTTGTTTTATGAATTTGCTGGCCTATTTTTTATTTATTTGTTTATGTATTTTGAAATGATGACCTCCCTGAGATGTCTATCGACGCAATAAAGAAAGGCTTCTTTTTTCCATGGTTGTGAGGCATCTCGGTTGAGGTGAGGCATCAACTCACTGCTGTGAAATACTGCCCCCGCTTGGTTGGAGAGAGAACTTATTGTTTGTTTCCTCCCCCGAGCTTTATTTATCAGTTGATCATAATCCTCAGTGCACTACCATGATATCGATTGCTCTCGGCATTCTCTCTTAATATGAGTCTACGCTTGTGTAGTATTTTATTATGGGCAAAGATTTTAATGGGGCTGAGATTAATACCACTGTCGCAAAGCTTGATTCGCTCTCCCTCCCTTTTATTCTGTCTGCACATTGTACTATGCTGATGATCAGAAGCACAGGCTCATGGCCTTGATGTGAATGGCAGCCTATAAAACCTACAGTCAAACTTAAGTGCCTTACCCAGCTGCGTTATGAGGAGAAGTAGAAGAAAATGCGTCATCTCTCATATATTTGGCCAGCCCCCACCAGCTGCATTATTATATTCAAACCATCACTTCCTAAATCCCTGCTATCATTTCCTGGTTAGGGCTCTCATTCCTCAACCGTCTCTTCATTGTGCTGTTCTCTTCACCCGCACTGATCATCCAGTAGCACCCAGCAGGTGTTCCAGGGTGGCATCTCCCAGCAAGCAGCGGCGGATGTGAGTCTTTCTGACTCGAGAAGCCATTAACGCTTTTTAATTTTTTAAATTTTCCGTGTTGCTTTGCTTTAAGCTTTCCTGTCATGCCACTGCAGCTAATATCCTTTAAAGAGGTGACAGCTGTCAGGAGAAATGGGATTAAAAACGGACAACTAATTAGTTTTTCTAAAAATCATCCCAGATGAACATTTGACCACTTTCCCTTATTCAAAAGTATTAACGCTGCTACAAGTCTTGTAGGTTCTGACGGGGTACTGTTCTAACTCTGCAGGATGCAGTGCTGCAATACTGAAATTATTACTGCTTCAAAAATGGTGGGCCCAGCCCAGTTGCTATGGTGTTGAGCATTAACGGCCATTAGAAAAATAATTGGGATGGTGGTGGCAGGCCCTGATGGCCCTTGATATGAATCACAATATTGATGCAGAGAATAGGAGCAATAATGACTTCAATTAGTGGTAATTGTCATTTTTTCTCAGTTCCACAGAGTATTGGAGTCTCCTTTGTCTTTATTCCCTCATGGTTTCTAACTGTCCTCAGCTCAATATTCACCATGTCTCTGTTTTTTTCTTTTTTTTTTGCTGATGTGATGAATACATAAGCTTTGACTATTTAATTAAAAGTGATTGCAATCAGGAAGATTAGGTTTGGATGAAGTTTGAGGCATAAGATTATTCCAAAGTAGCTTAATTGCAATATGCCAACCTCCACATTTTCCGTCCACTGCACACGCCACCTTTTGTGTATGCAAAAACCTAGACAATGTATGGGTCAGGATATGCTCAGTTTCAGATATAGACATTCATTTTGGCCCAAAGCAGTCAAGTCAGCAACTCCTGCCATGACAGCCACCATCTGTTTGTCTCACAACATTTCCCTCCTTCCGAGATGTTTTACAGAGCTCAGAGACACTGATTGACTCAGAAGAAAAATATATATAGTCTTGTCATCATTATTGGTTATTTTCATTGCCCTCTTCATCACTGCACTTCCTATTGATGTTCTCCCCCCACGACCCCCCACCCCCCATAGCCAACACTTTGGAAGGGAAGGAGTGAATGCAAAAGGGAGATGCAAATTGTAAAATGCTAGTTTGGGAAAGCAAGCTGGCTGATCTTTTTCTGAAAGCATCTCTGGCTGGAACCACGTGACCAATTTCTCCCCAAATGATTTGAAATCAAAGGGACAGCCCTCTGTGTCCGTCGTACACAGCAGGATGCGAGACCGAGTTGCAGCCCACAAACACGGAGTGTGCAACAATCAGAGCATAATCAGTCTCCCCATTACTGACTTTTGAGCTTTCAACATCATCAAAGAAGCCCCCCTGCTAGCTCCCTGCCCCATTCATCTGGAAATGTTGTGCTGGGGGAACAGGCAAGTTTGTAGTACAGATTATGTGAGAAAGTTTCCATGAGTGTTGCTGTCACTCTGCATTAATGCGTGATTCTGTCTCTGTCCTCATTTAATTTCCAGGTGAGTACTTATATGGAGCATGTCTTCATGAAGGTGTTCTTGCGGTAGCATATTCATTTGCAAATGCTGAAGCTGATGCATTATCCCGCCTTTCTAATAAGAGCCATTACATTTGAATAATGGAGTGTAATCAATTGGTTTAGTGTGCACCTGGATGACAGATGACATTTTGAACGTGTTATATGCATTCAAGGTCCCCACCTTGGTCTTGGAGCTCTGCGTCTCAAACTCCTACCATAATACAATATTTTAAACTAGTTAAACTCCACACTCAGGTAGTGGTGGAGTGTCACTCCAGTGATGTAAGTGACATTAGACAGCATGCGTCTATTTACATTTGTGTTTCTGTGTGTGGAAGATAGTGTATGAATAAACTGCGAGAGACCAGTGGCTTTCAAAAACTGAAGAAGGCATTACGTGTTCAAACATATGTTGATGCATTCTGTTTGGCCAGCCAGAAACAATATGGCTGTTAGTATATGAGTGTGTCTGTGCCGTAAGAGATGAATAGCAGTAATTATAATCATCCCTATTATAATTATATGAACGCATCACTCACGAGGACCCTCTTTTACTTGTTGAGTCCTTCAGAGCCATTTCACTGGCTCTCAGTCTTTTTAACTCACCCCGTCTCCTCCTCCCCTTTCCTCCCCCACTCCATTTCTTTCTTTGTTGTATCTCTATGATGAATAGTGCGCAAATGAAGGATTCTTTAAGTACCTCATTTTAAAAAAGATTGTATCTCAACAAGGGCTGCGAATTGATCATTTTTAGTTTTTTTTTTTTTAAACCAGCGCAACTGTTCCTACTTTCTCCTTTCCCTCTTTTGTCTTTCTCACCATCATGCAGCCCATGAATCACTATATTAAAATATACGCCTTTCTCTCCCTCAGCTCGTTGCCAGGCTGTCCAGGCAGAGAATGTGACAGTACTGGAAGGAGGCACAGCTCAGATCTCCTGCCGCCTGCAGAACTACGATGGCTCAATTGTGGTCATCCAGAACCCCCGCCGACAGACCCTCTTCTTCAATGGCACGCGAGGTGTGTGTCTGCACGCACATGCACGTCCACACGGAAGCTTAATCTATCTGTGATGCATTTGCCCCGCTGGCATTTAAAGACAGCCTTTTGGATGCATTAGCTCTGACTCACCAACACTTACACTTTACATTATTCTTGTTACAAATATCCTCACTTTGCCTTTGAAGAGATCTCACATTAAAAAGTCAGATAACCGCCAAGTTAATTCAGGAGATGGGCTTCCTCTCTCCCTCAGCAGTGTGGCTCCTCTAGCCTCTAGCTGTTTTAACAGCGTACTTCGAAGCTCCCAGCATAATCCATTGTTAACCCCACTGATGAGATCCGAGCTTATTACAGTTTCCACCAGGGCAGAAACTAGCTTATGATTTATAAATGTTACTTCATGGCAAATCATCATTGTGACCAGTATTATAATGAAGTTTGTTGTAATTCAGGGGTTCTGGATATACAAACACAACTATTATTTGTTATTGGAAATTGACTTGTTTGCGACACCTCACACAAACGAACGGCTGTCTTGCACTGATATTTCTGACCAATCCTATCTACATATCTGAAAGAAAGCCTACCAATACAGAATATAAAATGAGGCAACACGGGAGTAAAAGTAATATTATCCGATCTTATGACAGAAACAAAATATATTGACAGAAATTTTTACAGATTTCAAAAAGGTTTAAAAATTGTAAAAGGATCTTGTGATCCTTACTTATTTCCCCACAGAGATACAGTTTGAGGGTTGAATTGTCTTTGTCTCCATATGTGTTTTTTCACAGTGAAATCAATTTTTCATCTCCTGCTTAACATGGTCACAAATATTTGATAAGGAAGGAAAGAGTGGAAGGCAGGTGGTTCTGATCCATGGTCTTTGGTGACACTGAAGTCTCGGAGACAGTTGGAGACTTGCCCTCACAATGTTTCCATTAGTCTTTTGCATTTTAATTATTCCTCCTCCGACTTTTAATGAAAAAGCGAAACACCAATAAGCTTTTATTAAGTACTGAGAGATAAACATATCAGACTACAAATTTACCAACTCACATGACAAACAGTCTATTTGAGTCTCTTGTTGAAATAGAGGTTGGCTGAGCTGCCAGTCAGAAATTGAAATTAAGCCGCCATAAAGAAACACCTCCTCACCTTTCAGCTCACACCTCTGCAAACTCCAGGGCACAGCACATGCATACACAAAGAAAATATTATTTCTCTTTCTCAAAAGGTCAGAAAATTCATTCTCATGCCTACCCCTGTACACCCTAAAAGTTTGCTAATGATCTGTAGAGGCATTGAGCAGCTGTTTAAATTGCATGTTGTAATTTAACAATCTTGACAAAGAAAGAGGCTCCTTGCTGCAATAACTTCTCTCAAACGGGTGTACCTTCTGACCTCCAAAGTAGAACACACATTATTATTTCAGCCTCAATCTACTACAGTTGCTTAGGCAATACTTTTAACTGTCAGTCAAACATCCGGGAGTTCAGTTTCATTTACCTGAATTGAATAGCACACCAGGCCAACACAATATTAGCAGAATCTTAAGAAATGCATTAGTTACTACTTGGGTAATGGCTGAGCATCAGATTAAGATGTATGCCAGTACAAGTTTTTAACTGCCTTAAACCTTCTCTTAAGTATGTCAAATGTCAAGTAACTTTGTTTAGTCAGGCTGTTTAATCAGATGTTCTGCCCTGGGAAGGCAGACAATTTCAAATGTATACTGTGGTGAAAGAAAGGATGCGTTAATGTCAAGTTAATAAATGGCCGCTGCTTCAATAGCCAGTATTCTGTTGCTGACATTTAAGTTAAACCTTCATTTAATGGAAACATGTTAGAGGGAGATTCTTGCAATTCCTTTACAACACTAGTAAACTAAATTGTAAAACTTGAGTCAACTTTGAAAACCTTTCAGTTATGAACGCAAGATAAATAAACGCAGGGAGAGTTAATCCTTTACATTGTCTAGTTTTATTAAAAAAGGATCAGGATATTTCTTCTATGGTTCTAAATTAAACAAAAAACAAACCTCCACTTCAGCTTGTGTTCTTATATCATATGGTATGATAGGCCCATGAGCCTTCTCATCAGAAAGAATCCAAGGTCTATTTTTTTAATTCAGTAATCAAGAGTAACTCAAAATTTCTAAAGAAAAAACGCTATTGATGATTTTCAGAACAGAAAAGGGGTAAAATATGACTGATGAATATGTTGCACACATGTCTCAGCCGGCACGTACCATTGTTCTAAGCACTTTTCCCCCTGAATTGTCAGTCACTTCAATCACAGAGATGACTCCACTGGGAATATGAGGCTGCTGCTTTGACTTGGGAATCTTGCTTTCAAGTGTGTACCTAATTCTATCAGATCAGCACTGCTGTAAGTTCCATTAAGTATTTAAACAAAGAGTTGTTGTCTAGTATCCCTCAAGACATTGACTTTCACCCTTTGGAAAGCATAGAGGAGACTAATCAGAACACGGAGGAGGAAGAGGTGGAGGAGGAGGAGGAGGGAGTGTAAGGCTGAAAATGAAAGAGAAAATGAGAAAGAATATGAAGAGGGGAGGATGAGAAACAGGGCAAAGGGCTAAGAAAGGCAAAGAGAGAGAATAAGGATCTGGAATATCAGGCAGTAGAGAAGTACACAATATTAGAAAGCAATCCAAACTTTTGCGACTGTATATTGCATGGAAGGCCATCCTCAACTAATTTGGCTTCTGAAATCACCAAAAAAGCCTCCATGGTGACATTTTCAGGGAGTTTAGATTACATCTCACTCTGGCTCTTTCCACCCTCCTGTGTTTATATGATCATTTATCTATCACCCATCTGCCACCCAGAGTACAAACTGAGGGCTTTGTTGGCCTATTCAGCACAATTTTCCCAAGCCAGACTGTTGCATGAAGCATAGTGAATTGGGTTGCTTTTTTTTTTTCCAACTAACCGTCAAGGTTGTGTTCAATGTGAGTGTTCACTGTAAAAGAGCTGAGAAACTAACCAAGTGGAGTCTTTCTCCTGAGGAGTCCACATCAAAATTTCTCCTCATTTTGCCGGCTCTCTTCAGCATGCAAATGAGACAGGACAATAAAGGTGAACTTGGACTAGAACAGGAGTCTGACATTTAGTTGCCATTTTGTGCAGAGAGGGGGAGAAAGACTTACCTATCTGTGGGGAATAGATCTCTAACAATGCCCCTCTGCCATTTAGTGGAGTGGAGGGAAATTTGTGGGGTGAGGTGGCAAGATTATGGGGTTGTACTTTCAGGACGAGTGGACTATCTTCATCCCTTGAGGCCACTCTCTTGTTCCCCTATAAATACTTGTCTGTATCTATATTATTCTATCCTGCTCAATGCATTATTTACTTTTATTTGTCGATTTCCTTTTTTCTGTCGTCACCCAAATAACCCTCTGGTACACACACCCACAAAGACACTGTATCATACAGCTCTCTGTTTTGTTGTGAATTGTTCAGAGGTGGCCTGGTACTCCATTGGAGAAATGTCTGCTTTTGTCTCTGCAAGCCAAATCCAACCCTAAGGGAAAAAAGAGTGAGACAGAACAAAACTGATTCGGAGAGTTAGGGAGGTTTCATAGGAAAGTCAATACAAAGAAGGCCTCAGCGGTATTTATGGGAATCTATGAGCATTGAGCCACTGTCAACCGCAGACTGTTATTAGCATTATTTGTTATTATCAGCACTTTTCTTGCCATTGACTTGACTCTTTCTTTAGTAACAAAAGAAAAGTATTTGCATGCTCACCTATTTCCATTCTTACTGACAGAGTGTATTTTTTTCTTTGCTGTGCACAATGAGGTGAGTTAGAATGAAGCTAAGAGGTCTGAGTTTTCACACTTCAATTTTTGTATTTAGAAAGCCAATGTACAGCTTCAGTATTCAGCCTGTCTTCCACTGAATCAAATGGTTGACACGCTCATCTTAATGTCTACACGCGCACGCACACACACAGACACACACACATACATATATATATGTATACACACGCAAATGTATTGTATATGCATTAAGATTTTTTCTACAATTAGCTTTATTTGTGTGAAGACAGACAAAAGTGTAAGTATGGTCTAGTAAGACTATACTGATTAAAACCTAATAAGATGAACAATAAAAATCTGGACACTAATTAGAAATAGGCTTACAGAGGGATAAAGCATGTGAAAGAGAATGGATGAATACATTCTAAGATACTCTAATCAGTGCTCGGGAAAATGAACAACATGCTCCCTCCAATCTGGAAATGAGAGAACCAAGACATCTGTTATGTTGTATCAATGTACAGCCTGGAGCTGCTCCATTGTAAACTCTGTCTGAACTTTTTATATCAAACGAAGCTTTGGATTTTTCCAGCTTTATCAATTCCAGGGAAGCAAATCACTGTGGGCGCTTAGAGCCCTGATTTCTCCTATGTTTTGGCGATTTTCTCATCTGCAGATCATTTCATTGGAGTGACATCACAAATTAAATTGTGGAAACTTTACTCTGGCTGTGAGATAGAAGTGACTTTTTTGCTAAGTGTCTTGGGGCCAAGGAATAACTGATTCCAACACTCAATTAAAGAAGCTCATGTTTTTCTTGTGCTGTTTGATGTTCTTCCTGAACAGGCGGCAAAAACTTGGGTTAAGTTGGCAAAATCCATGTTCAGGAATTGTGTGTACTTTCAGAGCTACACAGTATTCAATTAAAAGGAATTCAAAAGTCTATTTGCAAAATAGTCCCAACCAAATTGGACCACTCTCAGATGCAGACTCACTTTCCAAACTTAAATGCAATAAAGATGCAAACAGCCGAAATGCTGCGCAATTAATTTAGTTGAGCGGGCTCCTTATCTAAAGAGGCTAAAGCTAACTCAGCCATGCTGCGTACAGGGCATTGTTACTTCTCTTTGCTCTTGTCAAACAAAGCTAGGAAAATCACTATATGCAACTGTATGTGTGATATACTTTGATTTACATTGCTCTTAGCAATGCGGGTGACAGGGTGGTGTGGTGGTTAACACCATTGCCTCAGAGCAAGAGGTTTGAATCCTGGGGGAACCAGAACCTTTCTGTGTGGAATTTGCATGTTTCTCTAGTGTCTGCAGATTCTCACCGGGTTCTCCGGTTTCCTCTCACCGTCCAAAATTTGGAGATTCCAAATTGGCCATAGGAGTGAATGTGTATGTGCATGGTCTTTGTGTGTCTCTATGTAGCTCTGCGATGGATGTAGTGACCGTCCAGGGTCACTCTCTCGCCCATTGAATACTTGTCTAAGAGCTTTAATCTCCTTTTGCAAATTGGGTGGTTAGTGGATGTGCCATCAATCAATAATAATATAAATGTGACTCTTGAGTTCTGAAATTTTAACAGGATTTTGCCAAATTGACTCTGAAAAGCAAACTGCTTCAAGTTGGCTTACTGAAACAAACTCTTATGTATTTTGTCAGCCTTAATTTGCTTACCATATATAAGAGCATTGTTGGCACAAAGTCGCATTTCTTACTGATTAAAAGAGGCCATAAAAAGGGCTTCTGGATGCAAAAATATTTAACATGAATTCAGTGTGAGGATGCGCAATGGGGTGAAAAGAAAATGGCAGTCCATCTGTCTGAGCAGAGGGAACTGCTTTGTCGATAACCAAACGGCTTTTGCTTGTGGAGAATTTCCATCCTGCTGAATAAGTGAGTTTGTGACCAACTCTCTGAAATGCTTCTCATCTAGACACAAATTTGCTAACATAATACTGGGAAAAGCCAAACGATAAAATGTCAAAAGCTTCAATCTTTTAAAGCATGCTGTTTTCATTTTTATTTTTAATTTTATTTTCTCAATTGTCTTTCATAAATGTAGCGATTTATTGAATCTTTCGCATTCCATTGGCAGATGAAAGACTTTCACCTTCCATCTCCTTGTTCTTGCCACTTCTTCTTTCGACCTCGGCCTGGCTTGTTTCCCTTGTCATCTGCATCACTCGTCTTTCCCGCCCAACCTCCACCTACATTCTTCACTTCCTTCCCGACCATGCCAACTCATGTTGTTTTACTTCTGTCCTACTCTACCCTTCCTTTCACACACCCCCCCCTCCTACCTTCTCCCAACTCCAGCCTTGAAGGACGAGCGCTTCCAGATGGTGCTCTTCACGCCACAACTGGTGCGCATCACGCTGACCAACGTCAGCGTGTCGGATGAGGGCGGTTACTTCTGCCAGCTCTACACGGATTCCACGCATCACCAGGTGGCCACGCTCTCCGTCTCGGTACCCCCGGAGACGCCCACGGTGGAGGTGAAGCAGGACGTGGCGGAGGGCAGTGAGGCGGAGCTCACCTGTGTGTCGCCGCGCAGCAAGCCAGCTGCCACCCTGCGCTGGACGCGCAACGGCCGGGAGATACCAGGTACAAGGACACGGCCGACAGATGGACTGATGGATGGTTATGTGGTTATGAGAGACAAATGAGGAAATTAATGAGATTAAAAAAAGAAGAAGACAGGTGAAGTGGATTGGTGGGGTGATACCACAGACCGAGTGCTGAATTAAGATGAATATAAATGGAATTGTGATTGATGGTTCGACAGGGCAAGTGGCAAATGGGTCAGGGAAAAAATGCCGGTAAAGATGAATGGATGGAGATTGGGAAAGAAAATGAGGATATGGGCAACGGTGCGCCTACATGCTTTTCCATTCTGATCCACTGATATGAGCGATACTACAACGACTTGTTCCAAATTATCAAACGCTTTTTTCTTTAGATGTCAACGTCAGTATTTTTCATGCTATCATTCAGGCTCATGAAAGAAGTGAGCTGTGCTTCATATCAGTGAGAACTTAGATCTCCAGAAACAACCATAAATATTTCAACCTTTCTTTGTTTTTCTGGAGTGTGTTTGCCAGCTATTTTCCTTTTTCTGTCAAAGCACATTTAAATTTTGCAAGCAATTTATCAAGAGAACATAACCAATGTTGAACCGTAATGTTTTCTACAAAATATGGATTTAATCCATTTCCTTTTTTGTGAGGCTTTACCAAAGCTGCTTTTGGTGTTGTTGTTCATTGGGTTTTCTATCATATGTCAGGTTCAAGCTAGAGAAATGCAGGTCAAGCGGAGTCGGAGTTGATCTTGACCTTCTCGTCTTTATTAGAAACCTCTTGGTTATTTTCAGGTGTTTTATGGCATTGTCTGTTCCACGACGTGCCGACCAGTCACTTTGCGACGTGTTTGATTGATTGTGTGCAGAGGGTATGTCCTGGTACAGTTTATAATTCATACAGTTCATCCTGTCTTAAATCACATAATCAATAAACATCGGTGACCTGGTGCCACTGGTCGGCACCACACTGCCTCTGTACATTTTACAGATTACAGATGATTCATGGCATTCCAAGCACCCCTCACACTTATTGTTTCTCGGTTACAGTTGGAGCGCAGCCTGATCCAAGTGAATATCTGTGGATATCTTTTGCTTTTTGCCTCCAACCTTACTATTTTGAGAGCATTTTTTGTTGATTTGTTTTCTCCTGATGTTCCCGCTGTTTCACTGATGGATTTTGACTGTATAGACACGTCTCACTTGAGCTGAGGGCCCCTGTAACTGCATGTTTTGAGCTCATAGCAGTAGCTTTTAAATGCAAACAGCCAACTTGAAATCAACTCTAGGACTTTTAACAGTTTAATTGATAAAGACCTAATGAGTTAGTATTCCACCACGCGCCAGGAAACTGCTTTTGAGTTGAGTGTCCAATTACAATTGAGCCCTTGAAAAAAGAGGCCTCATCACACTGAAGATTTGGAAGTCCTACTTTAAATCTGCTGTTTTGGATTTAGGTTTCCTCATACTGTACTGTACTGGATATTCACATTAATGATATAAAATTGCCTTTTTTTTTTAAATCTCTTTTTTTTATTTTATTCTATTTCATATACATTTTTTGTTAACAACTTGACACATATACCATGAAGGCCAAGTTGCTACACTGGAGATTGTCTGCGTTTTCTCTCTATGCTGCTGAATCAGACACTTGAAAGCGCTCTACTCAATTCAAAATCATCTAACTTTTCCTTTTTCCTGGCTTCTTATAACTCTTTGAGCCATCCATCAGTCAGTTACCTTGATCTGTCCTTCTTTCTAAGACACTTCTCTCTTAGTTTCTCTAAGTTAAAGGGAGACTTCACTCAATAATACATCTGAAAGCCCTCACTCGGTTTAACCCCAGGAACTATTTCTGCTCTCTTGTTAAGCAGCATTTGTGCAAAGTCATTTGAGTACCTTCGAATCATTGTTTGGTTGACTGAGCAAGAACAAAAATAAATTGATTCATCTGGTCGAGAAAGCATTCCTTACTGAGGCTGAGGGCTTTTATTTGATTCAGCAATATTTACACATTTTTATTAATACAGATAACCGAGGACAAAAGTAGAAATTACTTGGTGCTGGTACTCAACATTTTTTTGTATCTCGCGCCTTTTTTAGGGATTATGATAAGCATGGTTAAAGCTTTTTAAATGGATCTGTTTCGCTACTCCCCCTCTGCACTGCCAGACTGCTCTAGTCTCATCTTTCTATCTCTCCTGTATGTCCTCATCCTTTACACCTTTGCGATCCTTTCATCTGATATTTAAAGAAAAAAAAGTTTTCTTTGAGATTTTTCTGCTGACAAAGAGATGGGCTCGTCAGCACTGTTTTAGGCTAAAAAGGACTTCAATAGTCAAAAAAGCCAGATCGGGTTGTTCTTTTTCCTGTGTTGTCTCCTTAATGCCTCTTTCTTCTCTTGTCCCCACTCCTATTTTCCTGTTTCCGCTCCTCGTCCCTCCTCCCATCTATTTTGGCCTTGAGTTTAATGAACTGTGACACTAAAGGTTAGAGGCAGATCCCAACAGATATGGGAAGCATTCTTTAATTAAGACACTATCTTCTCATCATTCCCATATTCCTGCTCATCAGAACACTTCGCCAGCCTCTCCCTAGCTTCGATTAGCCTGACTTTCATTTGCCTGCTGGTAATAATTGAAAACTGAGTGTAACATAAGTAATATTATATTTTGCCTAAATTAGCACAAACTCTCAATGTGTGACCGTGTCAGCTCCCGTTAGCTTGGCCCAGCTTTACCTCCCTCGTTCTCTTTTCTCTCCTTCTTGCATCTTTCCTCCATTCTCATCTTGCTCGGCACAGTTATCATCTTCTTTCATGTCTGTTTCCTCCCAAACCAATAGACACACACACTTATGCTCACATCAATCATGCTCATATTGCCTCCTCGGCTCACTGTCAATGGGTCCCACTTTGCTTTTCTTCTCTCACCCAGTTACTGTGACATTCTGCTCCCCCCTTGTCTGGCTCAGTTAAAATCTCAATTGGTTTATGCATATTCTTTCTTTTATCTCACTCTCCCCTATCTGTGCCCTTCTTTTTGCCTGCACACATGCCAGTCAGTTGATTTGCTATCTGAAAACAAACTGTGCTGCTACTCATAATTGCCATGAAATGCAGAGGCAAATTGCTTTCTCTGCTGTAACTCTTTTATTCTGTCCTCCACTACTCATCTACCCCTCCACAGGTGGCTGGGGAAGCTCTACAGAGCTCATTCATCTGTCACTAACTTCTACCTTTTTGTCAACCCACTGTTTCTGCCCTGCTCTGTGCTCTTGGCTAGAAAACCTCCTCCCTGCTGCTGCATTCCCTGTCTCTTTCCATAAGTGTGATATCTCAGCCGGGAGAAAGAAAAGAAAGAGCAGACTTGTTTTTCTGGTAAGACAACCTCACCCCTTGTGTTTGTTTTATCCCCCCCCCTCACCAGGTGTTGTGTCACAGCAGGACAACGGGAAGACATTTAGTGTGTCCAGCACCATTCGCATCCCGGTAGAAAGGAAAGACAACGGAGCGGCGCTGATGTGCGAGGCTCTTCATCCTGCTCTTTCCGGACAGAGGAGGATTCGACATTATCGCCTGGATGTGTATTGTAAGTCCCCACTTCATTTGGAATATGTGAGCATACTTTGTCACTGAACACTTTCTTGCCATCTTTGAAACATAGAATTCACTTCCAAGTGTTTCAGAGGGAGTCATTATTTTATCTCTACTCTTAAGAAGAATTTTAGTGACATGCACAGCAGCCTGAAGTAAGACCAGCTCAATAAAAAAAAAAGCCTAATACGAGCAAATCCTGTCATGCTGATAGTTGGCAGAAATAGGCCTGTGGCCAGGTTATCGGTCCTGGACTGTGGTTTAAGGAGATTACCAGCATCATCTTTTTAAAAAAGGGGGGAAAAGAATGCATGTCAGATTAACCGTAGCAATGATCCAAGTACAGCTTAGGGATTGATCCCTGCTTACTTAATTGCACAAGGTAAATCTACTGTCTGCCTTGGGAGAGAAGGCGAAAGTACATTAAAATACTAAGATTAGTTTAAATTTCCGCAGGGTTTGTAATCACAAGCTCAGACTGAACCTTATTTCTGTTTCAAACCAAATTCTCAGCATTTGCGCAAGTTCGTAGATGGTGATTCAACATTGATGTAGACAATCTCAAATTGATGCGATTTATAACTTTGTCAAAGATGTTTTGAAATTCCAATTTAGGGTTTCTGAAATGTTTGTTCATTGTGTTTTCTTTTTATTTGAATGAAATACGTAAAGTTTGCTCTTTCTAGCGATACATTTTGTTCTTACTTTCCATTTTATGTGATGGGGAGCACAAATGTCACTAGCTTTTAGGCTTGAAAAAATATAATTCATTCATCTTTTTCCTATCTATTTCCCAAACAACATTTTATTTTTTTTTGCATCATACAAATGCAAAAACAAACATACAAATCATTTCATTTGTAAAAGACCCTCTGCTGTGCCTTTTAACACACCAAACAACCTGATCCAGCCGGCACTCTCCAAGGTTAAATAATTCATTGCTCAGAAATGAAAGAATAAGAAGAATTACCAGTAAACAGAACTTTAAATCAGATCAAAATATTTCTACCAAGGTTTATCACCTCCATTAGTATTATTATGCGCTAACCAATTCCTCCTTCCCATCGGATATTAGCATTCTTGGCAGCAGCAATATGTCCATGATTCAGGATACTCAAACATTCCACCGGCTGTAAATACTTACAGTTTGTGATCAGTCATATTTAGTGAGTACTTCTAAATGTGTCCTTGAGTTCAGTTAAAAAGGATATAGATATGTCAGAATGCCGACTGTTCATAAGAATTACTAATCTAACTAATCTGCGTGCTGCTGTTTCGTCCAGTCAGAGATGGAACAATAATGACCAAACATCAATGTGGATTTGGCTTCCCATTGCTATGCTACTGAAGTGAGTGCAGAGCAGCAGCTGCTGGATCGGTGGGCTGCCTATGATAACAGGTGTCTCAGCCGTAGGATTGTTGGCTGGTTGCCTTGGAAACAGATGTTAAAGACACTTACTTGTACCATTTAATACTTTTTCCCGAAGGCCCCCGTTTTTGTTCCTTATCTCTTGTTCCTGAATTTGTTTCCTCTACGTTCATTCCTTCCTAATCTCCTTTTATTATGTTTCGCCCTGTCTGATTTTTTCAATTTAGATTTTCTCATGTATTCATCTTTCTCTTCCCCTACAGTTGCTCCAACGGTGCGAATTGTTCCTCCAACGGGAATTTTACGTGAGGGCGATTCACTCAGCCTGACCTGCTCTGTCACTGGGAATCCTCTGTAAGTCTGCGTATTTGCATATTTATAGCCATGTGTTGGTGTAGTTCACCTTCAGAAAATGTGTCCTGCTTTCAGCACAGCCCAAATATTCTATGGGTAACTTTGGAAAGCGGTCTCCATAAACACAAACACACCAGCAGGTACAGATTGAAAATTTAAGTTAAACCACAGATAAAATCCTCATAATCTTTCAGAAGGGCATCAAATGCTTACATTTACCAGCTGCCACAAAATGATCTGATTTAAATTCCTGAAAGAAAACAAAACGTGCAGCAAGTTTCTTAAAGGGACGTGCAGGGATTTAGAATGAACAGAATATGTGGCGGGTTGAAGTTCAGCTGCAGCCTTGATAAATGCAAAATTCTACCAAATGTAAAGACTGAAAACATCTTTTGGAGGTGTTTTTCAGCTGCTGTGAAAATGACATTTCAGAGACCTTCAGATGGAGGGGGAATGTTTTGCTGCAGATTAAAAGTCTGACTGAAGCCTCTCTATTTATTCAGTAAAACTGCTCAAACAGAGCTCTTTCTCTATCGTGTCATCTTTTTTAATGTACTCTTCACATTGCATCTGTCCTAGCCCATTAATATGGTGCATCTCTCAAAACATTTCTAGCAATATTAATCAGGCAAATCTTAAAGTCTATTTAACTTGGGATTCTGCTTTTTGATGAGCTCCACATTTCGATGTCAGTTATTAAGCACTTGTTTCCATTTACATATATAAAGCTGAGAAAGATGCCATCAAATATGTTTGTGTTTAACTTTGTTTGATGAATGACATCAAAATACCTTGGTGATATTTACAACTAACATAAATCTACCTACTGGTTAATTACATTTGATTAATTATGTAGGACAAATTTCACTTAAGAATGTAAGCTTTAAGAAAAAAGATGATGTTTGTTTTACATCCTCACTTTGTAGTTCATTAATCAAGAGTTAGAGAAATAAAGCATTCTGAAATGTTTGGCTGCATAATTTACAATTCACAGTTTACAATTACCCCAATGACTTCAGCTAAGTAGCAGCGAGGCATGATCTAAAGTTAAATTCCCATATTGCTGAACAGTTAATAGGACAAATGATGCCCCTACTAATACTAGCAAAACTCAGGGTAAACTTCCACTTGCCATTTTTGGTTTTGGTGGTGGTGCACTGAAATACGAGTTGAGCTGTAGAGCAGTTAGTTTCTCAACCTCTTATAACAGGAGAATTCTCTTTATCCTGTAATGATCTGCTCTTACTTAAGATTCGATGGAAAGAGAGTAAACTCTTCAGCTTCCCTGTGAGAACAAAGCTTAAGAACTGCACGTAGTTATTCTTGCTCTATATACCTGACAGAAAAGTTGACAATTATTGGGCATGTCTGGTTTCATGATTCAACACATTAAATGAAGCAGATCAGTTGTGTGGGTGTTCAAGGTTAAGATTTTTTTTTTCTCAAACATAGCCCTAACAAAATTGGCAGCCTGAACATTTGGCAAAGCGTATAATCCTCAGCAAAGAAAGTCAGATTTCAAAACAAAAAAAGAGAAAAGAAACAGTATCATTGGTAGCGTCGTGCACTTTACGCCCAGAGACGTTAGAAAACTTGAAGAAACTATTTGGCTCTAGGTCATGTACAGTGAGAACTTGAATACCTTTGACTTTAAGGACTGAAATTGCTGCTTGAAGTACAACAAATTACAAGTTAATTTAACTTGAAATCTTTTGCAGTGTCAATTTCTTGGCTATCTAATATTAATCTTAATATTTGTAGTTTAGTCCACTATACGCCAAATTGATTCAAGCTAATTATCTTACAATACCAATTTCTCTGCATTATTAATACACTTTAATATTAAGTACATTGTACCAAATATAATTCTAAATTATCTGTTTCCCTGTTCCTAATGAATACTTTTTTTTAACAATGTTATACACGAAACTTGCATAAAAAGAAAAAGAAAACTTCAAAATGAACTTGCCTTCACATACTATCTTGGTTTAGAATAGAATAACTTTTCCCGTCCCTATTATCAAGTAAAGATTTAAACATTTGATTTCTATGATATCTTACAAGAAAAGGCATTGTTTGAAATGGTGACAACTTATAACATGTGCTCATTTGCTCAATCATAAAAAGTGGTAATAGTCCAGGACACCACGATTCTGCTGACTCTCATGCAACACTGCATTGAGCTGAAACCTAAGTGAAAAATATCATTCCCAGTACTTTTAATATCTCTGTTTTAAACGGTTTTAATTAGCTGGCGCTGAAAAATGCTTAGGGCTATGATTAATTTGCAAACATGATTAATATGTTTAGATATTACAAAATATATATATATAACATTGCGAAATATATCAAAAGTTGGACTGTAATTTGTCGGCTCTCAAAGACAAAGCAGCAGCTGAGATAAATGTTATCATCCTGCAGTTTTTAACCTTGAACTCACAAGACTTGTGAGATTTTTAATAGTGGAATAGTGAAGGAAGAGAATCATCAGTTGGGAAGCTATAAAAGGACTGTGGTGGTGGACGGTAAAGAAGCCCAAAGGGTGACGCTGACATGAGAGGACAGAACAAAAGGGTCTCGGAGAAGCCAATGACAACAGGGGGGCTGCATCCTGAAAAATAATGAGGAGATGGATGGTCAGAGGGCAGTGATGGTGTGAAACAGTTGGCAGGAAGGGAGGCAGAAGGGAGAGAAGGGCAGATGAGAGAGAAATGGGGTGTCAGGTGTGCCGTGTGTTTTAAAAAAAGACAGAAGCAGGAGGAAAGTGTGTCGCTACAGAGGGGCTGAAGACGTGGAGATGGTTGGGAGGCTGGGAGATGAAGGGGAGGAGCGGGCAGACAAAATGAATCGGTCGTGAAAGATGGGCAGGCAGAGCAGACAGGAGGTGTGAGGATTACAGAGACATCCCGTCGAAGGAATCTGTGTGAGTGTGTGTTTCTGGCGGGGTGTCATGGCTCATGCTAGTCTGGCCAGATTACAATCCTGACTCATCTGGGCTCTAATCCCTCAGGAGGTCTAATTAAACCTCTTTCTTGCTAAGTCACTCGCATACACACACTCTTTGATACCTCTACAAACACACTGAGTGAGTACGCATGGCAAAATCTTCCTCAGCTCCTGTCTTGCCAACTCACACACATACACTCTTTGCTTCCACACACGGCAATCCCTTGTAAATCAAACAGAAATAAGCAGTTAATCAAGCAAATGGGGAAAAACACTGTCACCGTCTACCGTCCCAGTGACATACAGACAATGAGTGGAACCCTTCACCAAAAGGAAGTGGCATATAATTGGTCATTAATGCTTAACAGCTAGTTAACAGGGCCGGGGAGCGACTGTGAGGGTGACAAGGGTGCTCTGATTTGTGTCAGTGTGCGCCTCTTTGTGGGCAGTCCAGCATGAGATGAGGATCAGAGTCCAGAACCGCCAGCAATCCATCCTTGTCTGTCACCAAACACACACTCTAACACAAACACACACACACACGAAGCGAGTACCAATCAGCCGTTACCAAGTTTCAGAGAGGCAACAGCCAGTGCGCTTCTCAGCCAGTCTTCTCTGTGGGATTTCACTAAAGTCATCACGCACATGCACGCACACTTTTTGGCTGCACGAAAGAATTGCCGGGGAGCTTCAGCAGTCCTGATGCCCACAGACAGACGGACAATCTAGGGGTGGGTTTAAAAGCTTAGGAGCCAATACCCTTCTGGAGCGTGCACAAAGGGGTTGTGAACGCTCCAGAAAAACTGCTTTTGTCTCAAAGCCAGCTGTTGAAATTATTGACAAATGAATGGGTTTAGCATCACATATATCAGGTCGCACTCACACTTCTAATATGTCCACATTCATGATCAGCATCTGTTGTTCTGTGACACATTCTCAGTCACCTCTCAGCACAGACTTAAGCTCTTTTCCCTCTTTGTCCTTCATGCAATAAAATATGGATCAGGTGGTTTTTATCCACCCGTCAAACATTAAATGTCAGGAAATACCACGACTGCTCCCCATTCTTGTGTTTTTGCTGAGACTTAAAAGCACAGAGCAGTTTTGCCATGTGCAACCAAACATCGAGTAAATAAACATTTTGACTTTGGTTAAATACATATTTTTCTTTCTAAACAAATTATATGATTTGTATAAAAAATCCTTGTGATAGCAGAGTTTTCCAACAAAATACTGTATACTAATTCTCAAATTCTTCTAAAGTCAAGCTCTTATAAATAAAAGTATTTACCTTTTTTTCTACATTTGGGGTTGAATGATAAAGATAATGGAAATGTTTCCATCGCCATGTTCCTCACACCTTGTAGAACTTTCAAACTGGATTTTGAAGGATAAAAGTTGATGAAGTCCGTGAAGTTCGGCTCGTGTTACCAATTAATATTGGTAGTCGCTTCCTGTATGTGTCGCTTCACCGTGAACAGCAATCTGAGCTGGAGTTAAAACATCTTCACCTGCTCTCCACAAACCAATATGCGACACCATGTCGCATATTGGTTTGTGGGATACCATCTTGAGGCCATTAGGTTATCGCTTGACCACGGCCATCCTGAGTTTTTGGGAGTCAGAAATGATGTGCAAAAATTGCACCTGACAGATTTTGCCTTTAAATGGAATTCATGATTGGTGTTAGATTGAATCGGCTTGGCTGTCTGACCCAACCTGCCCTTAGGCAGGCTTCACACCCGCCGTGTGGCATGTGTGCTGCGTGCATGAAAGGACACTCCTTACTGTTTAAACCTGTGTTAACCAATCACAACTTGCACAAAGCGTGTGTGATGCTGAGGGTTAAAAATTCCCTTGACCACTGATGGGTTCGGTCACAACCAGTCATCTCTCCTGTCTTCATTGTATAAACACAGAATTATGAGTATTTATGGCTATTACCAAAAAAAACACGTAGGCAGTAGTGGTGCTAGAGCAAACAAACTTGCTGTAAAACACACTCGACTGGTTCAGTACAGCACATTGATGGTGTGAAGCCAACCACAAATGGCAGCAGAGTGTGAAGAAGTTACCGGTAGTTTAACAGTCGGATGAGTGCTTACTCTAACTGAAGAAATGTATCATAAAGTCAGTTCAAACCACTATCTAATTGTACCATAGAAAGAATTACACTACGATTTATTAACGTGTTTTCTTGCAGATGAGTAGTCGGTAGTCAGTCGGTTGATTCTTTTGGGCATCACAATCAAACAATGCATTGTTACTCTTTTTTTTTTCCAGGCCAAGGGATATTGGGTGGTCCAAGGTTAATGACACCTTACCTGAGAGGGCAGAAATTTCTGGGCCCACCCTTCAGATTTCCCGTCTCAGCCAAGCGCACAACGGGACATACTTGTGCCAGGCCCAGAACGACTTTGGACGTGCCGCTGATCATTACGCCCTGCTGGTGTATGGTGAGTACGCCAAAAAAAAAAAAACAACTTTGTTCAGTTGATTCTGCCTCTAAACATTTCATTCCCAGATGCCGGGCCCCACGTGTTGCCCTTCACTGTTCTGAATGATTTCATCTTCAGTTGTTGATTACTTTCATGCCTTGTTCCTATGCTTTCCAAATATTTTTGAGAGGTAGTTTAAAAGTCATTGATTCTTTTATCTTCTCAGTGTGGTTGGAATCTGGCTGTTGTGTCTCAGCAAAATACTGATATGTGTTTTATCTCTTTTTCAGTTTTCTTTGTTTGCTTGACTCTGACGCAGCAGGGAAGTTTCACTAAACCGTCCCTGCTATTGATTAAACAGAAATATAGAAGCTCAACCTGCCATGAAAACTAGTTACAAACATTATCATTCAGTCTACCTCTTTTTAAAATAACCATTTTATTATCTCTGCTGGAGCCAAATCTTCACCTTAGGCATTTCACAGTAGCTTAAGTCAGTGAGAGCAATAAACAAGAATATTAGATGCACTGCAACCAAATATTTATCACTGGTGGCATCACTGGAAAGTTTTCGGCATGAACCTGTGTGTGGGTCATTCATTTGTATGAATGGGCTGCCTTCTACTGCTCTGGTTTTCCTCTCGTTGTCCAAAGAAATGTGTTGTGGAGTAAGATATTGTTAAAAAAAAATGGATAAGACAATGTATAAAATAAGGGAAAACATTAGAGAACATTATTTTTTCTGAGTCATGTTAAATTGTAGTTATTTACATGCATTTCTGAACATAAAAAATTGCTTCAGTGGCTGAATATTAGAATATTTCTGGATTCTCAAAGGGAGGTCATTGAGTGGACTGGGTGTGGGTGGAGTGAATACTTCATTACTGTCCAAAAGGGTACAATGCTCAGAGCTGACTGCAAATGAAAGAGGCTGAATTGAAACACTTCATGATGCTGGATAGTCTTTGAGACAAAAGGAAATACAAAGTGTTCTCAGTGTGATCAAGTGTGCTTTGGCATCCATTGCAGAGAACAGTATTTACTAAATGAGCCAGGAAAGAGGCAGGAAACAAAAGCTTACTGAAGCAGATGCCAGACACCTCAGGATTTTAAGTATCAGGGACACGAGGAAGAATGCAGCTGATCTTCAGGCAGAGATGAATGCTTTTCCATCAAACTTTCAGAAATTCCCCAGAATGAGCAGATAGCTTTTACAAAGTCATTACTAAGGCCTGCAAACATCCAGGAACACCTGACGTACTGGGACTGATGGGGTAGCCAAATTAAAGTCTGTGTAATATTTACTAGTTTGACAGATTGATCACACAAACGTTCTAATCCAAAGCAATCTGTGGGGACAGCTATAAACTATTTTGAACTTGATTACAGGATAAACTGTCAGAAAGCACATTAAAACAATAAGATTAAAACGGTAAGCTGTCATTAAAATCAACGGAGGCTGTACAAAATAATCCATTTTCAGGTTATTATGTGTGAAAAGGGACCGTAGTTCTTTCAGTTTAGTATTTACCGAATAAATAACAATAGCATTTTTAGTTTTATAAGTAGGTTTTGTGAGCAAACCAAAAAGAAGACGTGTGAGTCACCGCAGAATCTGCCAGGGCTGTTAACTTTGTGGGGGGGAGACAGTTGAACATCTGTTACATTTAAAATTCAGGTTAATACACTTTGTTTGTTGTTTGAGCAGAAGTATCAGAGGACAAGACGACTGGGAGAAGGAGCTTTTGTTGTCTAGTTTTTCAAGATGCTGCTCATAGATTTGCTGTTGGTGGCTCCATTCTTAATGAGGGTTGACCCAGATAGGCTACCAACCATGGCTCAAAGGGGCTTTCAACATAATAATATAACTTTTTTCCGGAACTGTGTCGATTCGGCCAACTTTGCGTCTGAGTTCCCATCGTGTCTAAATATATGTTTGTTTATGTGTTAATGAGGTCTAATCACCGCTTAAAACAGGTCAACTTCCATTTCAAAAAGGACCAAACAGAATTTTCGAAGAGCTGGGGCTCACCAGTAAAGGTTGGAATAATATACAAGTTTTACGTTGTGTTATTTGATTTAGCACCTTATTAGGAGATCAGAGGCAGAGGAAAGAATAAAGGGACTTTAGATATTATGTAACTATGCTTTTTCTCTTTTAGTTAGCACTCAGCCATCTATCTATCACACTAACAGTACCTTTCCTTCATACACTGACACACTGCACGCTCTTGTAGAAGCCTCCAATGACACACATAATGACTGTTTTCCACAGGCATCAAGGGTGGCAACAGTAGCAAGATGAAAGGTGACATCTCCACCCAATGCCTCCTCCTGCTTTTCTTCACTCTTTCTTTATCTGTTTGTGTGTGTGTGTGTCTGCCCTAAAAGGTTAGATGTGTCAAGCCTTGATGTGTGTTGCCACCTCTGTAGAAAAATACTCTGGCTCTTTTTCCCCTTTTTTCTTCCTCACCCTCTTCTTTCTCTGTCTTTTTTCTGAATAACCATTTGTATATTTTTGTCCTTCTTTACCGTTTTTGGGACATTGTTCACCCCTGTGATCCTCCCGCGATTATGTATACTTTTCTCTTTTAATGCCCTGTCTTATTGTGGAATAAGAGCTACATTGAAAGAAAAAGACCAGAAATCCTCATAACCTACATAAGCCTGGCTCCAGCTTCTGTTCTGCACCGCATATTTCCAGCAATCATCTTCTTAAATCCCTTTGCTGTAGCCTTGTATCAGTGGAGCTTTGCTGTACTTTAAAAACTGTGTACTCACCTAGCTGTTTCCGTTCAACCCTTAACCTTAAACCCCATCTTACAGACAGGAGGGCCGCCATAGAAAACACAAAAGATGCGGTTCATATTCATAAATGTCACAACTGATGATCAGGAAAACGTGCATTTGGTGCTCACTCACATGTACAAAATGTACCACCGCCACACAAGAATGTCCCCAATGATAGGATTTACTTTGGAAGTATGAAATGCCGTTTATGCCAGTAGAACTGTGTGGTGATTTGATAAGCTGTTAGTCAAATCCTTTTGAGAATTGAATTAAGCTCAGGAGACAATATGGAAAATAAATGAGATCCCATGCTACAAAATATGTTAAGGTTAATCATACACAGAAATGAACCCAGAATTGGCTTCTTGTTTCATTCCAGCTCCCATATTGATATGTCATGTTTCCCCTTTCTTTTAAATGGTGAATAGCTCATTTTTGACAAACATCTTCACTTACTCCCAGTGATTGTTTCGACAGGAAAACAACAAACTCTTATGAGACAGTTTCTGATCTTTCTGTGCCACTCTGAGATGATTTTGTTCGGTCTTTGTCTTACTATTTTTCTCCTCCTCTCATCTGGTATGATGTCTTGTTCATACCCTCTTTCAAACCACATCATGTGTTTTTTTTCTCAAGATCTGTCATCTTGCTCTGATTCCTGTTCTCATCTTTTATGCCTGTTCACTTCCTGGTTCTGAAACAGCGCTGGTGATCCCACTGTTTCTCACCTTGCCCCGCGTTTGCCCGCCTATTCTACGTTCATCTGCACTTCAGATTCCTTACTTGAGGAGTGCCCATAGTTTACAGGGAAGCGTGTTAGTGTCAAGAAGTGAACAGTTAGGGGAGAGTGGATATGAGTAGAGAGGCAGGGAAGGTGTGAGAAAGGGATGAGAAGGAGAAGAGGAAGGACGACGGAGGTCAAAAGAGGGTTAAATCCCAGA